CTCAAATCACAACTTATCATTCCAGCTTTTACTCCATCACCTTACCATCCTTGTTAGTTCAATGATTGCTTCATTCTCTTCCAATTCCTCAGCTAGTTTTCACCTTCGCTTTCTTCTTTACCTTACTTAGACTCTATGATCTATGGTGTTTAAGAGAACACCATAATCTATGGAGTTGAACAAGTGTCTTGCCAATAATTTCAATTCCCATACCCCCTTCTCCCTCTTTACTCTCAGGGTGTTATTCCAACCTAAACTATATGTCTACAGTTTTTCTTTTCAGCTTCTATATGCAGTTGACTGTGTAGTACTTGAGGACATCAGTACTTACTCTTACTCCACTCTCTTATTTTACTGAACAAGTGCAACTTGTATGAACTTACCTAAAACATATACATTCTCATTTATCATTTCCAAACCAATCCAGATAAAAGGTCTCCTCCCCTGAGTTCATGTATCATGAACATGTATTATTTTTTTATTTCTATTTTATGAATATTAGAACCTGGGACATGATAGTCAATAATTGTTCCATGTAATGACTCAACGTCTTTGGTATATTATTCTTTAGCTGATATCATTTATTTACATGTCTATCTAACCTACTAAATTGGGAATTTCTTGAAAACAAGAATTGTTTCTTAGTCATCTTTTATTCACTATACTTGGCAATGTCTAAAATACAAAAGCTATTTTTGAAAAAGGTGAGAGGAAAATGAATACCTTGGTGACATGGATCATTTTTACACATTTAAATAATTTTTAATGAATAATGATTTTTAGCTGTGATAATAAATGAATGTCTAAGTGAGAAAACCAGCAACATGACAAGTCCAAGTATACATTATTTCAGATAAATGAATTCTGAATTATTTTACTACTGAAGTAATTTATGTAATTATTTTCAGCTCAAATTTAACTCATCAGAGCTAATTAGATAATTTGTAGCCTAGAGAATGAATAGTCTGAGTGCCCCACATTTTCTTTTGCCCAGGTTCCCTTTAACTTGATAGAATTAAAGATAACTGATTGTTCACAGACACAAGTTCTCATTTTAAAATTGACTTTATCTTTTTATCTTTGGCAATTTAGTTTGGTGCTTATATAGTTTCCTTTATAGTACCCTGTCCTCTCTCTCTCTCTCTCTCTCTCTCTCTCTCTCTGTGTGTGTGTGTGTGTGTGTGTGTGTGTGTGTGTATTTTCTAGTTATTGTAACAGAAACCATCACAGAATCACAGCTCCTACCTTCCATTATGTCATTCTACTTATTGCTGGCCATTTCCCAATCACGGTAAAACACACACACCTGCACATACACATTAAAGTATGGTATAGATAATAAAATTAAGATTCTTCACATGTACCTCCAAACCTAAAATGCAATAAAAAATTCATTAAAAAATTAAAAAAAAAAGATTCTAAAGCACTTATAACTGCCTTCAATGCAAACTTTCTCAGTACTTTCTACACAAACCACACTGAAACCTCCAAATACTACATTTGCTTATGTGAGGTTTCCAGGCCACTTAATACATGTTCTTTGGGATTCTGACTTTTACTGCAGCAAAAGAATCTCTCTGTAAACTCGTACTTTACCACAAGCCTTTAAAGAATGCCAGATGAAAGCATAACTCTCCTTTTGTTTTGTCACAAAAATCCACATTTCTGGTTACAAATTAAGAAACTATGATCTTAGTACAAAGGCTCTTGCAGATTCCCTGATACAGTCAAACTGTGGTTCTTCAGATGTATAGGTTATATATGGCTGAGTTTTTTGTGGTTTGTAATTCTAAGTTGAATTTTCTCTCTTGCCCTAAATAGTTCTAGATCATCTCCTCTTTTGTTGGTTGGATGTGGTAAGGGTTTACAAATGTTAAAAACATTTGCCATAAAATAAGAACCCCAAATAAAACATGTTTAGGGAGTTAACTGTGTTGCTCCCAAATCATACGAGATAGTTAAGACCAAAAGTAATTGTTTGGTGCATGGCTGAGATCCTCCTTCAGGATGCAGGCTATAAGCATTTGTTTTCTTGATTTCAAGGATTGGGACCTGCTGAGTCTTTCCTTTGGATATGGTCTTGGGCAAAAGGAGCTGTTTTACCCAATGTTATAAACCCTTCCTCACAACAGTCTATAGGCAATGACTCCAAAGTGGGATGTTACAAAACCCACCTCTAATCTTTTTTTGAAATAGGAGATTTCCTTGGCTGCCCTTGCAGGAAGTGTGACAGGGGTGTGGCTCTTTGGCCACCATGAGCTGAAACTCCTTATGGGAAGGGGAGCATGCAGATGGGCAGGTATAGAAACCAGGGAAAGCACTTTTGGGCTCTGGCCCCACAGCAGCATCTAGGGGTGGGTTCTTGTGACTCCTGAAGCCCTGGTGTTACAGTGCTGTTTTAGCTCTGCTGTCCACAGACAGCTTCCTTGTTAACTAGCTCAGTGTCCCCTTGGCACCCAGGCCCTTATCTGGCATCCAGGAAGAATCAGGTTACACATGGACTTGAAGAGTGGAAAATGTAAGGATTTTATTAAGTGTTGGAAGTGGCTTTCAGTGGGATGGATGGGGAGTTAGAAGGGTAATGGAGCAGGAAGATGATCTTTCCTGAAGTTTGGCTGTTCTGTGGCGGAACTCTTACCATCCGCAGCTGGACTCCTCTTGATGTTGATACTCCTCTTCTCCCCTTCTCTGTCATGCAGTTCTTCTGCTCCTTGGCTCTTCTGCTCATTGCCTCATGGAGCCAGAGGTTTGAGGTTAATATGGATACAGGATAGGGAGTATGAAGGGCCAAAAAGGCAACATTTTGGGCACAAAACGGGGAATGCCTATTCCTATTTAGGGCCCCGGGTTTCCAGACTTTAGAGTGGGGCCTTTGCCTTGAACCACACTCTTCTACTCAATATTTCCCTGTCTCATGTCTGTACCACTTTCTCCAATTTGGGTAAGTTATTTGAGCTTTAGAGCTCTCCAAGTAATCAGTTGAGACTTCTGTTGCAACTGTTTTCAGTTTAATTTCTCCCTGTCCTCAACCTCGTTTTCTTTGTTCTCTTAGGCATTGTTCCTGAGAGTAGCTCCAATAAGCCACGTGGATGCAATCATCCAGCTCTTTCTTGTGGAATCCAACCATTGACTATTGACGCCAGGAGTGGTCCTGGGAGGGAGACTCTGAGGATTCTGGAGCTGTATCACCCAACAGCTGGCTAGGAATAAGACTCCTGTCACTGCTGGTAGGTTGAATATGTTTAGCTACTGTCCTGGAATTATTAAAACTCTCATAGGTGATGAATTGATATGGTAATAGGCAGGTGAAATATCTCAGGCCTTGGAAAGGTAGAAGAGAGTAGCAATTACAAGAAAAGGGAATCAGATGGCTCATTCCATCAGTGTATTGGACGATAATAAACAGCTAAGGGACACTAATGATCAATTTAAGGCAAAACATGAAAGTTAGTTTTGGTGGCAAAAAAAAACTTTCCCTACTATTGGGAAGGGAAGAAAAATTTGAAGAGTTAATTATAAGAGTAGTGGATCTCTTAAAAAAGTTGAATTCTCTACCCATGCCAGTCAAGCCTGTTAGGTTAAGGTCAGGACCTGGTTAGGAAGGAGTAAGACCTTGAGACTTGTCATGTTGACATCTGAGCTGAGGCACTAAAAACACCTTAAAACCCCAGGGGTTTTTTTTTTTGTTTTCTCTTTTGAGACAGAGTTTCACTCTTGTTGCTCAGACTAGAGTTCAATGGCATGATCTTGGCTCACTGCAACCTCTGCCCCCCTGGGTTCAAGTGATTTTCCTGCCTCAGCCTCCCAAGTAGCTGAGATTACAGGCAAACACCACCATGCCGTGTTAATTTTGTATTTTTGGTAAGGACAGGGTTTCTCCATGTTGGTCAGGCTGGCCTCAAACTCCCGACCTCAGGTGATCTGCCCGCCTTGGCCTCCCAAAGTGCTGGGGTTACAGGCATGAGCCACCATGCCCGGCCAAAACCCCAGGTTTTTCTGAACTCACTGGTACTGTATTAGTGACCCAGTGTTCTCCACTAAAAATTAGCCTTCTTTGTTGAAAACAGTTCAGAAGTCTTTGTCTTACAAAGTAACATGTACCTTCCTTCACTCAAGATCTACTTCCTCCTTCTCTCCTGGTCACAGAACAAGAAAACAACTAGAGTCAGGAGAACATAATCTGGTCTGGGAATCTCAGGGTCTGCTAATGGAGGAAAGGGCTATTGTAAAACCTAGAAAATATGTACCATCAAGAGTTGGGAGAGGATGGGGACTGGATCTTAAGGATGCTGGATCAAGCAAAGAGAGAATATAAGGTTGGATAAGGGAGAATTTGCTGATGATATAGGACCACCCTCCAGTAATACAGGATATAACATTCTGGCAAGGACCTGAAGATTGGTGCCAATATGTCGTCATTGACTTTCAGAAGCTTAAAAAAATTAATGTTAGAAATTCTAGAACTATCATGCAAATAGTGGAAAGAGATCAAAGGCTTAGAGAAGTGGCTTGCTAGAGTGGATATAGTATATAAGGTCTAAAATACCTACCAGCTGACTATGTTCTGTGGAAGGACCCAGAGGGGTCCTGGCATCACTGAAAAATTCAGTAGTGTCTTTCAGGAGAAGACCAGTGCTAACTTCCTCATAGCAATGGAAATGATTAGCTCCCAACATTAGAAACAAACAAACAAAAAACAGGTGGTGGCATTTAATGGTCAGAAATTGTGAGTGTAATTATTATTATTATTATTTTACAGTCAGAGAAAAATGGAGTTCAGTTTTATTTTGTCCTCTCTGAAACTTCCATTTACACCATGACCTCATCTATCAAGAAGAGGAGGAAAAAGCCCTGCCTTATACCATAAAAATCAAGTACTCATGTACTTGTTACAGGTGGCAGGATATCCAGTTTTTTTGGCTCCAAGAAATTATACTTTCAGTACCAGTGTAGTGAGGAACCACTGGCAAACTGCTGGAAATGTCTTCTGGATTAGCCAGTGTGCCATTTCATAAACTGCTCCTGGAGTTAAAATCTGCCAAGTTGTCAAGTGTCCACACATTTGCAAACAGGGATAAAATAATCCCAGTGAGTATCACTGAGTCCTTCCCAGCTGGGTCTCCTTATTGGCACTGCTGCTTTAACCTTCGAGGCGCTGGCTCTCACCCCAAGTGAAGCCTCCTGGCTGTTCTTCAGGTAGTGGATTGTAATCTGGATCCTCATCTGGTGTATCAAAAATAGCTTTCAACATAGATGGTGTTTTCAGAATTCTTATTCCACTAGGCTGATTGGGAAATACATCTTCCAAGAAAAAATATATGTGTCCAACTGCAATACCCGAAAGGTCCACAATGATTGAGTTCCACAACAAGAAAAACCCCATGAGCATTCAGGGCAGAAAGGGAGCCTGGAAGTTGAGAGGGCTGAAGAAGTTCATACGGACATAGGGGTTCCTTCGGCACCACACGTAGACGAGTATTATTGCAAAGGCCTGGCCCAAGAAAACTAAGCTCACAAACCAAAAAAGATTAAGAATCCACCAAAAAGGAACATAAATACAAAGTCTGCTGTCCGACCTCAGAAAGAGCCTTCTTCCAGCATTCGACAGTAACCATATGGAAAAATCATGTTAAAAAAATTGAATCCATCTGGCCCCAAAAATAAGAAAATGGTGATTAATCTCCATATTTGAAAGTGTTTAAAGATAAATTCGGGACTAAAGTACAACTGAAAAGGTGTGATCAATTCCAACTGCACGGCTGCGGTGGTGAGGATGCAGGCAGTGGTGTAGGCGTGGCTGACCGGTGGGAGCTGCAAGTACTCCAGCCGCAGGCTCTGGTACCCATCTCCCCACCGTCGCCTGCCCCCCCACCTTCCCCTTTTGCCAGCGGGCCCCCAGCAGCGGAGCGGGCCTAAAGCACCACCCCTCCCTCCCCGTTTAACCTTCCCGTGGCTGCCCAATGAGCGTCACCCAACTGCTTGGCGCTCATTGGGCAGCCACCGGAAGGTTAAATGCCGCCCTAAGGCAGGCACACCCGCCAATCGCGGGTTGCGTCGCTCCAGCGCCACGGCCTGGCTTCCCCACCAGCCAACGTCCGGGAAAAATGAGTAAGTATCAGTTCCTTCTGCCAGTCCCCGCCGGCCACAGATGACTTTCCCGCCCGGCCCCGTTCTGTCACTAATTGAGGTGTCCCCAACCAGCCAATCAGGAGCGCGAGAGCATCCTGCGTTTGCTTTCCTTCGCCGAGGTGCTTATTAGTCGGAATGTCGGGGAGCCAACCGCGCCGTCTGTCCTTGGCACGCTAACGGCGGTTTAGAGGAGGTGGTGGGAAGCTTGTGTGTGCTCGAATTCGTCACCCTCATGGTCACTCCAGTAACTGCTGCGGGGCAGCATTTTCTCTAGGAGGAGCGGGGACTGGTGGAACTGGTTTAGGCGTCAAGGCGTCATCGCGGGGGGAGTCTAGCGGCCTGCTGGGTAGGCCTCCCCGCTGAGTGTAATTATTCTAATGGACTGTCAGCCAGGGGCCTGGTCAGTGAAGAGCTTTGAAGATGGCCAGCAGAACACATATCCTTAGGGCAGCCAACAAGGCATCACCCAATGTGTGCAATTAAAGGAAATCCAGGTGGGGCCAGGCGCAGTGGCTCACACCTGTAATCCCAGCACTTTGGGAGGCTGAGGCAGGTGGATCATTTGGGGCCAGGAGTTTGAGATCAGCCTGGCCAACATGGTGAAACTCTGTACTAAAAATACAAAAATTAGCATGGTGTGGTGGCCGGCACCTGTAATTCCAGCTACTCGTGAGGCTGAGGCAGGAGAATGGCTTGAACATGGGAGGTAGAGGTTGTGGTGAGCCGAGATTATGCCACTGCATTGCAACCTGGGCGACAGAGTGAGACTTTGTCTTAAACAACAACAAAAAGGAGTCAAGGTGGAATGCTCAGGAGCTTGAGGAAGCTGTCAAAATAAAATGATCCACCTGCCTCAGCCTCCCAAAGTGCTGGGATTACAGGTGTGAACCACTGCGCCTGGCCCCACCTTGATTTCCTTTGATTGCACACATTGGGTGATGCCTTGTTGGCTGCCCTAAGGATATGTGTTCTGTTAACCATCTTCAAAGCTCTTCACTGACAGTCTTTTAGAATAATTACACTCAGTAGCGAGTGTCACAATAAAAGGTCATGTTGTTTTGCTCTATTTTCAAACTGAAGCCGATTTTCTGACTCAGAAGTCATTGACTGTGAGACAGACTGGGTCCCGTTAAGAAAGGGACCTATGACAATTTACTTGGGTAAACATATAACAGGGGAGAGAAAAAACTCATTTGCCCGACACGAATATGGGATTTAACATTCATACCCAGGGACCTAAAGTGTCATCATGGCGTCTGTGTTAGAGGACATAGAGAAGCCAAGTAATAAGTGGAGTCCTATCATAGGTCTGGTTCACACAGTGGAACTACATACCCACCCACTGGTATTTTCATCAGTCCCCAAGTGTACAAGTGGAGTGGACACACAATGTAATTGTAAGAACCCTAGTTCTGAGGCCTTGGACTCAATATTGGGTAAGAATTATTTAAGCTCCAGACTAAGTAGAAGCCGCTGAAACTGTCCACATTCAACAATATCATGTCAAAAGCAATATTGTAGTTCAAGAAGAAAGGTAGAGATTAGTGCGATCTTAAAGACTTAAAGTTATCTGTGGTAGAAACAGATATCCCATGAAATTTCTGGCAAGCCCAACTAGCAAAATCACTGACTTTCCCAGGGTTCTGGAACAAGGTCGTCCCTTTTGCAGCAGTGTATTATACACCTTTTCGAAACATCTGATATGCTACTTTGTTCTGAGACAGAACATCTGACCATGGGATATCAAGTGACCTTGTGGCCAGAGCTGTCCATCATAAGCTGAGTTTTAATCAACTCACAAAGTCAGAAGATTAGGCGATCCAAGCAGCATTCCATCCCACAGTGAGAATGTACATCCAGGACTGGACTTGTGGAGGGCTGTACAGCACAATAAGCTGCAAGTGCAGGTAGCCAGACTTTTGTGTTATTCACCACAGTTGCACTTGTACTTTTGCCTTAGCTCCCATCTGTAGCTTTTTGACCAGCTTATGGATAAGAAAAAAAGGCTAAGCTTAGTTTATGGGTGGGTATACTCCATGTTTAAGTACAAACTGAAAATGAACTGCTGCTTTATGACAATCCCACTCAATGGGGCCTTGAAAGAGAGCAATGAGTAAACATTTTCTCATGGGCAGAGTTTTAGGCATTGTACCAGGACATATACTTTGCATGGAAAGAAAAATTGCCTAAGATAAGAATATACAGGAATTTCTGAGCAGTGGAAATTAGCTTGACTGCTTGGTCACAGATTGGAAAGAAAAAAATGGAAACCTTGGTGACAAGGAGATCTGAGGAAGAGGCATGTGATGGATTTACAGGAGTTAAGTACAAATTTGAAAAGTTTTAATGTGATTATTAATGACTACCAGAAAGCATTTACCATGAAAACAGCACTGAACTCAGGTGGACAGAATGGCTCTGCTGCTGGCTGACATGTGTCAGCCAGCCTCTGTCTTCAGCTACCACGGTGCTGTCATGAGCTCATGAACAGACTATCCATAGTGTCAAGGATAAAAACTACTCATGGGTCCTACCAACATCATGGACTGATAATCACTATGGCTAACCACCACTGCTATCGGATATTCATCTAGCCGGTATCAGAGAACAATACTAAAGCCTGATAGGATGTCCTTTTTCAAGGAGACTAACCCGTCACTTGGTGCCAAGTTGATTACATCCTCGAAGAGGCAGCAATTCATTACAGGAATCAGCAAATTTTCTAGGTATAGGTTTTTATTTGCCAATTGTGGAGCCTCAACCATCTCCAGTATCTGAGGCTTTGCAGAATGCTTGATCCATAGACATGGTATCCCACTTGACATTTTATCAGACTAAGGACCACTTTAAAGCAAAAAAAAAAAAAAAAAAAAAAAAAAGGCAGTGGACGTATCATAATTAGGTACATTTTTCCTGTAACAAACCATACCACCAAAAGCTGCCAGTCTTATAGCAGTGTTGGAACTGCTTTTTGAAGGCATAGAGGCACAGGTTTGGAGATAACACTGCAAAGATGGGGTGCTATTCTCCAACCTGCAGGATGCATCCTAAATCAGTGATCATTATCTAATGTTGTGTCCCTAATACACAGAAATACAGTGTAAGAGTAGCCTCTTTTGCTATTACTCCTAAAGACTCACATGAAGAATTTGTGCTTCTGACTGCATCAATGAGCTCTGCAGTTCTGTCTAGCATTTCTGTTAACAGATGATGAGTGCTTTTACTAGCAAGATTTTAAGCTCTATTTGCTTCTCAGTCAACCAGCACTTGAGATTTTATGTATGAAAAGACCAGAAAAAAGAGTCACCATTCTGGCTCAGATAATGGACCCTGATCATTACCAGTATGTAGCACAGCCATTACCTGTTGGGGCAGGCGAGAATACATCTGGCAGCCAGGTAATCCACTGAGATACTCCCTACCCAATATCCCACACAGTTCAAAAATTAGCAGTAAAAATTTTATGTTTACACAATTGGCTGGGGACTTTAATATTCAAAAATTTTTAAAATGTAGACTGTCATAAGAAAAGGTATTTTTTTATGTCTTCATCATTCTTGCCTTTAAATCTGGAAGACAAGATACTAAAAAGATAACAGATGGCAGAGACCCAGAGGCTTAGTTCTTAAATACATTTGTGCCACAGTTTCACTGGCTTTCCTTTCTCTACAGTGTGGATAAGCAGTAACCAAAACAAAGGAACAAAACCATAAGAAATCCATAGATAAGTAGAGAGTTTTCTGGCCTTTCCATGTGGGAGAGATGAGAGTTGATGAAAAAGCACACAAAACAAAGCAAGCTTTGTGGCTTATTTCCTACAGATATCTGAGAGCAACCTTCTGCCAGGATTTGCCCTGCCCACAGGCGTTAGCATGGACTTGATGATTGCAATGCGGCTTTCACTTTCTCGATTTTCCAGAGCTCACACTCCTCAAATTAAAAAAAAATAAGATAGAAGTATAATTGGCGACCATAGAGCTCATGATTCAAATTAGACCTAATTATTTGAAAATATATCTTTCTCTGCCTTTTTTTTTTTTTTTTTTGCTCAAATTATTTTAATCTCAGTCAAGCAAAGTGTGCATGGTGTTTTCTGCCATGTCAAGAAAACAAAAAACAACCAACAAATACAGTCCTGTTGAAAAATACTAATCATTGTATGTAAGAGAAATTTAGCCTCTTTTTATTTTACTGTTAAAATCTAAGTTTTGTGGAAATTCTGACACTCATTTTATAAGACTAAAATAAATGGAGAATGTTGCTAGTCTCATTTATTGTTGAATCCTCACACTAGGAAAGACCGGAGGCTCTGAGGGAAAGTTCATGCTGTTTTATAGCCATGTTGCTAAGGTGATTTAGTGGGATGAAAACACTGGCAACTCTCCATTAATTTGTTTACAAAAGAATATGAATGAGTTTCACCTCCTACAGTCAGGAGCCCTTCAGCTTCTACTTAACTCTAGCCAACCATGAACCAGCTAGCAAATTAAGTAAAAATTCCTTCAGTTATTGTTAAGGTACAATTACTCTCAGCAGAAACATATATAATCTGTTAAATAGTCCCAATTAACTATTTAGAGCACAAAGTGAAAAACAATATATGTGAAACTAAGTGAGGAAAAGATAATTTGATTCCAAAATGAAATTTATCTTGTTTTTCAGAGTAACCATCTTATCTCTCAGCAAGTCAGAATGGTTGAGAAAAACAGGCGGCCTGCCTTTTGCAAGTGTGTGATTGTGTAGAGTAATATGTTTGTATTTAATCATTATTTAATACAATGTGGCTTTTTGGACTGGGGATTGGGGAAAGGGGCAGAGAGGGTGATAGCTGACTTTGTATGAATAATACCAAGGAAATGCAGTAAGGGTCTAGATGTTTTCATGCTAAATGACACCATATTGCTTTGTAAATCTCTTCTGAAACCCCAGGCATGATTTTTTACTGCATCAGAAGCAAGACTAATCATGGAGCACTGATTCTACTTTATGGGACACCTGACAAAAATACTACAGTGTATTGGGCTCCTAGGATGAACAAGAAATAAAATTCTTATCACGTTATAAGAGAACATGATTACAACAGGCCATCAGAGAAGTTGTTAGGGATTCTGGTGATCAATTGCCTAGGTCTACTACTTTCTACTTCATGATATAGGAGCAAATAACTTAACCT